CCACATGATGCACAGAGGGCCCCCGCCAGGGCCGGGGGGCTTCGGGATGCCTCCCCCCCACGGAATGAAAACCCCCTTCCCACCGCCGGGTCACTTTGTGAGGCCGGGGGGGATGCCGGCGAGCGGGGGGCCGGGCGGGCCCGAGGAGAACAGAGACGGGAAAAAACAGACGTTCACGCCCAACAGAGACCAGGAGAGGTTTGGAAGGAGATCTTTCGGAAATCGGGTCGAGAACGATCGCGACCGCTACGGGAACCGCAACGACGACAGAGATCACGAGCGACTCGGGAATCGCGACAGGCGAGACTGGGGACGAAGAAGCCCCGAGCGCGAGAGACACAGGGACTTGGAGGACAGGAGCAGGCGGTCCAGCGGCCACCGGGACAGGGAGCGGGATTCGAGGGACAGGGAGTCGCGCAGAGACAGGGAGGAGAGCCGAGGGAAGGAGAAAGCAGAGATGGCAGACAGGGCAGACGGCGACAAAAACCACGAGTCTCATGGCGGCAAAATGGAAGATGCAGACATTGTTTCAGAACTTGCTGCGGGAGGGTCTGAACCTGCGGGTGTCAAACCTGTCGAAGAGTCACCATCCGAGGCTACCTCATCTGTGGAACAAGCGGAAAAGGAGACGGGCTCAGCGGCGGAGGCGCCGCGCTAGCGACTGGAAGTTGTCGAACGATGACAGTGACGTTTGTTGGAGTGTAGAGCTTTAGAGTTGTACAGTCTGCTGTATTATATTTGCTTCTGCTTATATTGCAGCCCCTCAGTAGTTGGTGGGGAATTGTAAGCAATTTGATTGCTTCCCTTCTATTTAAAATAGCCACAACATAACATGACATACTGAAGATATGATTAAAATATTACCCATTTTTGCTGTAACTTTTTTAAAGTTTTGACTTTAAAAAGTTTACAAATCAGAAGTAGAAGTGCTTTCTATTTTTTTTTTAATTTAAGAAAAGGTAACGGTGAAAGCTCCTCAAAACAATAGGGATGTGTTTTTAATAAACTCTATTTTCGTAACAAACTTTAACGTGTGCTATTCTTCCTACACTGCACTGAAGCGGAGAAGGAGTGTTCAGCATCTTAAAAGTTTGAACTGTTAATGCTGTACCGGAGTCTAAATTAGACTGTTCTGTTTATATTTGTTAAAAGAAATACAACTGTTTGTGTAGCTATTCACAGAAGCGAATTTTTATTTGTAATAGTCATCTTGATTTTTAGATTGCTGCATTTTAATGATCTACTTGACCATACTAGGTAAAAGTTAGTGGTTTTTAAAATGTTAATTGAAGAGTTATCTGTTTAGTGTTTGCAATGCAATCAGTTTTTTCTTTTTTTCCCCTCCCCCCCTTCCCTTCCAACTGGTTCTGTGGTAACTGTTGCCCTCATTAGCCTTTTTTAAAAAAGGGGACACCTTCAGGCATACTTCATCTGCTCTGCTTCTGATGTTATAAATTGCTGTGTGGTGGGCCAGGAAGCACACCGGCTCAGCATCTCCTGTACTTGTTATCCATTGATGCTTTTTGGAAAGTCAGGCAAAACAGAAAAGGAAGACACCAAAACACAAGATCAAATGCTAGCCTGTATTTTTTTTTTCAAATGGGGGCTGGGAGAAGACAGGGAGGCTGGAGGGTGCATGAGGATTTTCATATGCTGCCTCTTCCTCCACACGAATCGGGGCTGCTGCTGTTGTCTGTGTTAACGATGTCTACCTCCTGTTACCCTGCAAGAGGTAGGTGTACAGCTTTTACCCACCTAGCACTGTACCTATCGGACTGCTGGGCAGAGGGCACATCATGCTCCCGTACTTCTGTCAGTTTTACCATCTCTCTGTAGCACTTTTTCAGATTTTAAGAGGGCAAATGCTAGTTCTTGGTGGTTGGCCCTTCAGGCACAAGCAGTTTTGGAAGATCTGAGTGGAGCCAGAGCCCGGGTGGTTCCTCCCCAGGCGGCACCTGCCCGTCGCAGAGCCTGCGCTGGGCCGTGGGTGGCACCGTCCTCCCCTGGGAGCTCCTCTGGCACTAGGGGCATAGTGGAACAGTTGTATGAATCCTGTGCATATTTAATTTTTTTTTTCTCCTTGATATAGGTGTGTTCTACTTTCAAGTTGGGGTTTTTTCCCCCTAAGTGAAGGGCAGCTGCTTTCTTACAGCAGTACTTTTTCACAGCTGCTCTGTGGCAGAGTTTTTTCTGGGAGAGGGAGGGGGTCGGGAAAACAAATGTGGAGCTATGGATTGGGGAGAGGACATATATTTTTATGTTCTTGCAATAGCAGAATAAAGAGAAAAAAAAAAAACAAAACTGTTTACATACTTGTAGTGAACTCGACTTCCATGCGTTACATCTCGTGTCCTTGCTGTTTGTTTTATGCTGGGCCCGTGGAACTTTTTCATACAAAGCCAGACATTTACATCTTATGTTTTAAGACTCACCTTAGTAAAAATGGCCATAATTCTGTAAGGAGGTAGGACCTTTTCTAATGAAAACACTTTATTAAAAAATTTGAAGGCAAGAATGAAAAAGGTGGAAGACTTGTCTGTTCACACAAATGCCACCTCACCTTCCCTCCATTTCCCTTATCAGGAATTTGAAAACAAAGCCCGGGAAAAGCTGGGATGCTCTTATGCAAAACAATTTCTTGCTGCCTTCTGAAGCAGCAGTCATGTAATAACACCTACCAACATCTTTCCAGCATCACTGCTGTAACTCCATCCTAACCTGCAACAACTACCTGGCTTATTTGAAAGCCAGAAATTTGTATGTAAAAGTTAATAAGCTCAGTGCAAGCACCTGTTAGCAATACATACAGCATTAGCAGCCAGCACTGTGGTCCTTGAGCCTGTGCCCAGCCACTTACAACGGTTTGGGCATAAACGAAGCATTGCTTCTACACCCAGTGACCTCCAGGCCAGCGTGCCATCAGACATTTACACACAAAACAAACAGGTCTGAGAGAACTTTGGAGAGGAGTGAGGTCCAGCGCTCAGCACTGCACCGGGGAGGAGTAAGCAAAGGTGGAGCTGCCAGAAGCTCTTTCCACTACAGCTCAGCCAACAGCTGCCAAGTACTTGCTGATTTCCCCTCTTGGGGAAAGGGACTATGGCACAACCAGCCTCCCAGCTTCTGCAAAGCAAAGAGGTGATGGTGGTGTTTGTGGGCATTGGGTGTCTGGCACCCCCCGACACATAAGGAGGGAGCTGGAGGGTGCAGTCACTGCCCTAATTCCGCTGCAGCAGCCGAGTCGGAGCACAGGCTAATCCAGGGGGAGAGGCTGCACACCCAACTGCCACCTCCCATGAATCCAAGCTGAAAGTGGTTTTACAGTTCCTGCTGTGCTGCCAAAAGCCATCCCACTTGTAGCATGCTATGCTGGGGTCTAGAACTGCAACCAACTACTGCCATGAGTATTGCTTCTGTACAAGATACAGAACTGTGTGTATGAGCCCTCATTAAACTTTATTTCTCTACCAAAAGACTTAGAAATCTGTATTGAAGAGGCACATACAAGACTAACAAAAGCTGGCACTATTCTACAGCAATTACACTCTTGGAAAGCTTCATGAAACAGGGAACTTCTGGCTACCTCACTCCTTTGAAGGGAAGACCTGTTCCACACTAGACACTCCCACATAGCTTGTCTTGCACCACACCAAATCCAGCCCAGAGGTGCAGGTGAGGCACCAGAACACATGGGGAACCAGGCTGCTCTAGGTGCTTAAGGCTTCCCCAGCACACACACTCTGCAGTCACACAAGGCTCACTCCACCCCATAGCAAGAAGATAGTTCTGCAAAGCAGCAGCTGTCCTGGGGCACACAACACCACCAGCTCCAACGTGCAGAAGGTGTCCCCAGGTTTCCTGACAGAACCCAGGATTCTGGCACAGGAAAACACATGACAACGCAAGTCACAAGAAACATCCTGACTGAGGTCAGGTCTGGGCTGGGCTGTTCCAGGGCAACTGGCTGCAAACAACTTGGATGCTGTTAATGTCCAGTACATTAAAGTAGTGACATGAGGAAGTCCAGGCTCACTTTTCCATACTCAATGTCAGCATGCAAGGGTTTGGTGGTTCATTTCTCTTTATAGACAGCAAGACCAAGATACATTTGCCCAGCGAGTTTATTACACAAGTTTGAAACCTACAAGTGCTGCAACTTTGCCAGGAGGGAGCCCCGGTACATACAATGCCTACTGCTCTTTGGTGAGTTGCCTTGCCAAAGCTTGTGAAGCTAATCCTCCAAATCACACAGCATATCAGAAGTTTTGGTGTTCAGGAGGTGACAGCCACCACATATCTTCCATACAGAACGGGGCTTCCAGTCAGTGAAGTTATGCTTAATGGTTACAGCAGATGCTTTAGCAGAGGGCTACAGAGACATTCCATCAGGGTCACTTTAATTGCAACATACACAATACAAAATTAAGTCAGTCTTCACCAGTTTGAGGGATACTCAGAATGCAGAGTAGTAATGAGATTAAGTGACAGATCTTTTGCTTGCAGGAGGAAGGGCAAGTACAGTGCTTGCACTGGCAGAGGGGCCCGTCTGCCCCCGCAGCACCGCGGGCTCAGCGCTCAGCTCTTCGCTATCCCGATCACACCACACGCCAGACGAGGACCAGCATTCCCAGTTAACTTGCTCTCGTTATCTCCCCCTCTACCCAGGTCATCGCGCTTTTCATGGACCTAAAAGAGAAGTGAAGATGTCTTAATTCGTGTTACTGCATAAAAACATCTTCACCACCGAGGTCAGGAAGCAGCACAGTACCACCAGCTATCAGCAGGGGGTGTTACAACAGGCAGAACCCACCACGATTAACTACTAACACCAAAGTGAGATTTGGGTTAAAAAACTTAAGACTAGAGTTGTGCAAAAAGATAACCTGCCTTCCACTGAATTTGAGCTGGAAGTCACCAAAACCCCATGGTTCAACAAGTTACTGCTCCTAGTCCAAGAGTGAGCTCAGAGTTGCCCCCCCAGGTCACTCTTACAACAGAGGGCTGATGGCTGTGCCACGACAGTGCCGCGGGGATGACTGACAATGCTCGTGCGTGGCCAAGTCCACTCAGCCTCTGCCTCCTTCCTTCCCAGGGAGACCACGACACCAGTTACACCAGCAGCTACCAGACCAGTGCTCGCTGCCACAGCTCCCAGTGGCCAGGCTGCCGGTTCCTCCTGCCAGACAGCTGCTCTAGTCCTCACAGCTGGCAGAAGCCAAGTTCAATGGAGAGGAACATCTTTGAGGGCAGGCAGGAAATGAAGATTAGTATGGCAACAAAGTGCCATCCATACGAGTGGCACACGGGGGACTTGCAGGCAGGGCTTCCAGGGAACTCACCACATTGAAAACCTTGCACTACATACTCTTTAACAAACACTGGGGACTGGCCTCCAGCACCAGGAAGTCTCCACTCACAGTCAAGACCGCGTTAGGGCTCCTTAAAGCGCCCAAGTATGCACCAAGACCCTCACCACCATGGTACGCCCGATGATGCAGTGCGGCCCGCTCAGAGAAATGACAGAATCTTCTATTTCCACGTCTGCCACGCCTCCCTTAGCGGTCACATTGCCAAGGTCTCCCACATGCCTACAAAAAGATGCAAAGAAACCCAAAAAAAACTTGAATTGAAAACTCTTCGAAGTGATGGCCTGAACAATACAATACCCTCAGTTACAATACTCAAGTACTCCATCTTATCTTAAACAGCACAGATGTCCTCACTTACCACCAGCAGTCACCCTTGAACACTTCCACTATTTTAAGTAAGTCCCTTACTTCAAGGGATAATTAAAATTCAGTCCTAGGTAGAATATGAAACTAGAAGGTTAATCAGCTTTGGGGGAAGGAATGCCATCAAATCCCTATGAAAGCAAGCCAACAGTGCACAACCCTTACCGCCAGGAACGCCTCCATGCTGATGGCATCTCCCTCTGTTCAAAGGAAGCCTCTCAAAGCAGATGAAATTACATCAAACCTTGGGTGTGCAGAAAAGGTTAACACTGCAGCTATTCTTAAGAGCTTTTAATGTCTATCACAAATCAGCTGTTCCACAAGCAGCTGCAGGCTTTAGGTTTTAACAGGATTAGTAGAAGCAGTTTGTCAAGTGACAGGTCAAAGTGGATGCAGTGAGTGCTAGTTAAGTTCTCACCAGTCCCAGGGATGACTGTTCCTGTTTGGGATCATACCACACCATGCAGTTTTCATCAGACCTGGATCTCCACTGGGACTTCCCTTCAGAATTAAGCCTCAAGCAGTTGAATTCTTATTCCAGGATATTGTCTCCTACACATGCCTCAAACCATTCACTCAAAAGACAAGTTGATGTTCTGCCAGACTCTTCTCTCCAGACTCGGAACCCTGAACACCAAGTCACTTCTAAACCTCCCCACACATGCAGGGTGACCCAGCTCAGCTCACCAAATGCTGACTACCAGCTTCTTAAACAGCATAGCACCAATTTCTTATTTTTAACCAAGTCCTATCAAATCAGGTTAAGGGCAGTTGTCCCTTTAGGAATCTGCTCAATTTAAGCTTCCAAGAAGCTTCAGTCGTATCTGTTTCAATTCTACATCAATCAAAACATGATCTAGTTCTTACTCCTAAGGCACTTCCCAGCCTCCAGGTGCCTGAGCAGGCAGGTTACAGCAGCAGCAGCAGGATTTGGCAGAGCAGAACCAGCAGAAGCCAGGACGTTTGTGCAACTCTGACCTCCAGCACCAAGCAGGCGGCTGGCAGCGAAGCCATGAGCTCACCCTCACCCTGCCCCACCACCCTGGCAGCTGGCCAGCAGTCTGCTGGGCCTGGCACGCAGCCCATCCCCCACGGGCCAGCTCATCCACCGCAGAAGGTGCGGTTATGGAGGTGAACCTCAGCGCTTGAAGGCCAACTACAATGCCAAGTTGGTCCCAGTGCTAGTCCAGATGCCACCTGTGCAAGGCCAGCCCATCTTTTACACTTACTCCTAGCTCCATCTGCTCCCACACTGGCCATCAGCTCTTGTGCAGGCCCATCCCAGTCTCTAAAGGGAGTCGGCACACTAAACCAGTTGCTCAGATATGAGGTCTCAAATATTCAAGGGCTCCACACAAGCAGCTGGACTACAAGCACTGCTTCCAGGGGAGAACTAAGTCTCAGCACCCAGTGAGGTTCAAAAATATTCAGCATAGACATCAGACCCTGCACTGACAGCCCGCAAGGAGTACATGCTGTAGGTGGTACAGTACCCAAGCCAACAAGCTGAGAACAGCCCAACACAGGCAATAAAAAGTCACCATGCCCAGGTACACAGAGCTCTGCATTCATCTGGCAGCCTCCACTGAAGCTTCAGCACCTTCCACTGATGACGCTGATCTGCCACATGACAACCCTGCATAAAGCTCAGCAACTGTCAATAGTTTAAGGCCCCTGTTGTCAAAAGCTGGCCCCAAGCCACAAGCTATTCACCACAAACCAAATAAGGCTTCAACACATGAATCCCCCACACAAATCCTGAGGAACCTTCACTTGGTAAGAACATTTATTTCTTCTCCCCAAGCTATGATAAAACTAAGTATGTCCCAAGTGCTACATTTTACCCATACTCTTGGAGCCAAGGTGTACAGTATGTTGCTGTATAGTTACCAGAGCCTTTATTCAGTGACCCCAGGAGCCCTGCAGGAATTGAATTCGCAGTTTTCTTCTGGTGCTGAACTAGCATAGTTCATGAAGTGGCCTCCCAAGCACAAAGTAGCACTTAAGATGGCTGCTGCATGGCGCAGCTGACCAGTAAGAGGCCAGGCACACTACTCACCTTTCTGCATCCTTTGGTCCACCATGCTGCTTGCCTTCAGGATTGAAGTGAGCACCTGCACTGGTACACCCTGAAACACAACACAGCCATCAAAAGCAGACTTTTTTTGCAGTAGGTAGTTTAAATCTGTTGCTTACACAGTACACCAAGGTAGTCTCTCCTATAGCCAGAAAAAGAAGGCACTGGTGATGAAATAGGTACTCTTCTCTTATGATGTTCTACTAATCCTCTGGAAGTAAGTAACCTACTACAGAGTTAAGTTCAGTAAAGTAAGACTACTCATTCTAGAACAGTCTGTGCTCTGCTGAAAGCTTTCTTCTTTCTTAATACTAGATTATTGAAGTATTCAACTTAGTGCTTGATATGTCAGATCCTGAACACCAGCCTAAACACGTTCAAAGTAATAAATGAGAATTCCTTTGGAAATGTCATAATTTTTTAATAGAGGTTTGCAGTCATGAGACCCAAGCACATTTATACTAGCTGCTGCTGCAACACTAAAAGAAGGTCTTTGAAGCTGAACAATTGCATTACAGCTGTAACTCAAAAGCTTGGACAGACGTCTTACCATTTGTATTGTCACCAAACTCATGGACGTGGAAGCCATGATCTCCATCAGCCAAGCCACTGATCTTCCCAGTAACTTTTACTGGTCCATTACCCTATCACGGAAAGAATTTGTTATCACCAAAAAGACTACAGGATTAGATGGCCTTGTGTCAAACGAAGCTTCCTAGTCAAAGGAATCCTAAGGACTGCACTACAAGTTGGGCCACCGAGACACAAACCACTACTTTGCAGTAATGGATCCTATGCACCAACACAGTACCACACAGAACGCTTGCAATTATCTAACTACTTAGAATATAGTCTTCTTATTACGTATCAACAAGCAAAAGGAATGCCCGCTTCCGAGACGATCGCGCACCTCCATTTAGAAGCGCCAGTAACCCCGGCGTCACTCCTCCCCTGCATCTCCAGCACCGCCCCGGGCAACACCTTTCACCCCACCGCGCGTTAGGCGGGCTCGGACCGCTCCGCAACTCGACCGCGGCAAGCCCGGCTCCGCCAGCGCCCACCGG